GGCTGTCATTTCTTCCGAGTCAACCTTTCTTAGATCATTTAGTTGTGACACAATACTTTTGATATAATAAGCAAGATGCTCTAAAAATATGGATCAAACACTTGAGCTTTTATACTTTTTGTCTTTTTAGCCTGTTGATTAGAACACTAAGCTTATGAGAACATTGCCCGAAGTGGTTGTTTCTGCCTGTAAATGCTTTGAAGAGTCAAATATATTATAGCAAACTATGCGACGGCTAGACAAATGAGCTCCCTCTCCTTTATAAATGGTCTCATCAAGTCAAGAACCCACGTACGTCTATAAATGAATATAACTTGGTTTGTTTTTATAAGTGTGCTTTCGTGAATCTTCAACTTTGTAATATCTTCTAATATTAGGTCAGTGCAATGTGTTGCACAAGCTGTCCAGTAAGTATATTGTATTTTTCCCATTATCTTTTTACCCGCAATCACATAATTTGACCCATTATCTCTTATTATTTGCATCACATTTTTATCTCCTACTTCCTCAACCACGTCATCCAAATAAGTGTATATTAACTCGCAACTCTTTATAGCATCAAAACCATCCAGAGATTTAAGAAAAACCATCTTGAGGTTTAAGAAAAAGGTCCAGTTGGACCATTAACAAATGAATTAATCAATGTTCTATTTTTTCCATTTGTCCAACTATCTGATATAATTGAGCACTCATATTTACTTCCATGCCTTCTTTGCTTCTCTAACATCTCATTGATTGTAGCAGCTTCATCTTTGAGTATTCAAGTTTTTAATTCTTGCATTGTAGGTGGAGTAAAATCAGGTTCAAAATTAGCAACAACTTCAAACATAGATATATAATATGGGTCATTAGTAGAAGCATTCTTGGGTGAAGAGGAGAGTTGGAGACGACTAAAGAAGTTTTTGAGAGTTTTCCTTAGGTTTCCTCTTCCTCTCTTGGGGTTGACGTTTTAAATTTTTTTTTTTATCTTTTTCTTTGTATTGTTTTTATATGTTTTGAGAGGTTATTGTATAAGAGAGGAGTTGACTGCTATAGAAAAGAGAATAAATCATTTCTAAGTATTTACTTTTTTGTTTTACTTATAAAAATGATTTTGTTGGGATACTTTTCCCGTGTTCTTTCTATTATGTGTAGCTAAACTTTCTTTCGCGCCTCTGTGATTTATGAGATTTGGTTTTGTAATTTTTTTAGATGATTTCTTTCCTTATATCGTTTTTCCGAGACATCAGGGCTTTTTTGTTGTTGTGTTATTATAGAGTTTCATTTACTCTTGATCTGATCACTTCGGACGTTAACATATTTCGTGATTTGTGACTCTTTCCCATCGTGCAGAGGAACGAAATGGTTAACCACAAAATCCAGGTAATAGTAGACATTTTATTCGTGTTTTGCAACATAGAAAGGGGATCGGAACAAATCTAAAGGATACCATAAGATTTGAGGAAGCCTCAACTTCATGGATTCTAACATTCTTTTGATCTAGACATAGGCATACGAAGGATATTCTATCTTTGTTGACAATAATCACGTTGGGGAAATTAATAATCATGAATTGCCACATTACCTAAATGATAGGAGCATGGGCCTCACATACCTTGAAGACAAATAAGATTTATTAGCCGTTGTTTTTCGTATTCTCCAAACATGTCATCTTTTATTATTGTTTTTAAGTAAAGGATTTTAGGAAACAATATTTTGTTTCTGATCACGCTAAACTAGGTTTAGAAGTTTAGTAAGCTAGAGATTTTTTCAACAGAATAATTCGTAGCCCTTTCCTCGTAGGATCGATGAGCGGTACTATTTAACCACATTACTACTTCACAAGTGCACTTGCATTGTACGACCGACTTACACTCCGGTGAGTTTTAGCGCGTCACTCTCCAAAGTATTTTTCTTGAAATGTTATCATAAGTTTTCTCTAATTTAATAAAAAGTATGTCTAGATCATTTTTTCTCTATGTTTTTCAATCAAACCACTCAATGGATGTATAGCTTTCATAGTGGACTTTCTTGGCATGAATTCAAACTGATTTTAGAAAAATTTGGTATTATATCATAATCTATGTTAAGGAAGGAAGAGGTAGACCCAGGATGACTTGGGCATATTGTATAAAAAAAGATTTTAATTTATTAGAATTAAATGAAAATATGACACTAAATATGATGCAATGGAGAAAAAGGATTCATGTAACCGACCCACTTAGTGGGATAAAGGTTTTGTTGTTGTTGTTGTATATCATAATCTATGTTCAATTGTTCTCTTCCATAACTTTTATGTATGAGCCATTAACATAATTCTTCTATCACTCTTTCGCTTCTCTCTTATTCTTAAACATATGAACCAATAGACTTTTTCTTCGCTTGTCAGAAATATTTTTATTTTTTAAAATAATATTAAAAAAATTGTTAAACAAAAAAAATTTCAGATTTCCTAAATATTTTAACACTTCTATTAGAATATTATCAGGTCATACTATTTTTTCACACTTCATTCTTCTTAAATCATTATTAATTTTCATTTTACTAAAGGAACAACAAAAAAATTTTGTTATTATTTATGATATTAAGATCACTAAAATTGATTGTTATTACAAAATCCTTGTTGTAAAGTTTATTATAATACCTATCTCATTTATGTTAATCTCATCTAAGAAAAATGTTTTTTTATTTTCATCCTTATACATTTTACTTAATTGAATATGCACTTCCCTTATCTTTTGTTTTATTAATTTATTCATATATATTTCACCCTTTTTAGTATCTAATATATTATAAAAATCATTAAAAGCTGAATTCTTAGCGTCACAAATTGTTCTCTTGGATTCTATAAGAGTTACCTTATATTTTTTTTCAACTCTCCATGTTTTCACATCTAAACTAATTTTTATAATATATATTTTTTATTTTCTCATCTTTTCTTGCACATTATTATTCCACAAACTATTTTTATTCATAAAAATTTTTCCTTTGATTGTCCGAACACATCTTTTATAACTTAATTAATGATACTCATTTTACTTTATTTGATATAGTATTTAGCTTGTTCCTGATCATCCCAAATCCTAAGATCTTAAAGTTTACTTATAAAAATAATTTTATTTGTTTTAAAAGTGTCCGCATCTAATTCTATAATAATATTTCTTATTTTTTTATTTTTGAATATTTTATCTTAAAATTCAAAACCAATAATCCATGTTTGGCGTTTAAATTTTTGCTTGGAATAACCTGACAATTTTTACAATTTCAATGATTCATTTTTCTCATAAAAAATAATTAATTTGTAATTAAAATTCATTTTTATAAATGAGAATATGCTCGTCTCTTTTCTTAAATAAAATATTAGTAATAATACATGCATAAACTAAAACAAAGTCTAATATTGACTCCATCTTTTTCATTTGTCACTTCAAAGCATAGGTGTCATGAATACTTCTAAAATCTTCTATCAATCTATCAACATATTTATTTAAATCACCTCTAATAAAAAAAATTTCTTCAAGAGGCATAATTTGTATTAATTCCTCCATATCATTCTAAAATTATTATTTTGAACATATATGCAAACCTACTTGGGGAGTGTAATTACTTTATAATATTAAAAATTTTAGCATCAACAATAATATTTAAAGCTAGTATTCTATCTCTAATTTTATTAATTTTTATAATATTATCATTCAAACTCTTATCTATAATTAAAACTAAACAATTTCTAATATGACTCGTACCCGAATACCAAAATTAAAAATTTATGCTATCAATCTTAGTTTTTTCTTTAACTCATTTAGTTTCATGAATGCATTAGATATTTATTTTGTTATGAGCAATAATATATACTAATTGCTTTCATTTACCCATAAAAGTATCTATATTTCAAGTTTCTACTATTGTATTAGTTTTATAAACTAATTTTTTTGCTCGTATTCATCCATAATGTGAGAATTTTTGCTTATTTAACACTACTCTTGGGCACCGGTGTAATGGCTATTGCACTCTTTCTAATGTATCCATGTGGTATAACACGTCACTTCCATGGGACGTCCTAACATTGACATAATGATTTAAGGATTTATGTTATAATTTTTCGACAAAAAATATTTACACTGGTTGTCAACTGCCTAACCGTACACTTTTAGCATCTTGAACTTGAGACCTTACAATGACAGTTTTGGTGGTTGTTACGATTAAGGAAAAAGTATTACTTCTTTATATGAATAAAATAAAATTAAGAGAAAAATAGGGAAAAAATCATTGATATTAGGTTGTTTATAGCTAATTACTTGTAACTAATTACTTTTCGGAAAGCTTAACAATTGAAATGTGGTTGTATTAGTGGATAAAGTTTTGAATGATAAAATTTTAGGAGTTGAATAAGGTTATTGACAGGATGATTGCTAAGATAATTATGGGTGAGAAAATTATGAATTTGATCACTATTTTTGAGATTAAAGTAAAAAAATGAGTATTTTTTTTTTTCCATTCATATTTAGGTGATTCCAGCACTGACAACTGAGCTAGATGATCTATTCTTGAATAAATTGGTTAAATCAAATATGAAATAATTAAGAAGTGCGTGTGGACCATTGTTATATGTCTAGAAGTTATGCAAAAGTGTTTTTCATTAAATAGAGTTCACCTCACCTCATGACTCACGACACTAATGATAGAAGAAAGGGAACTCAGAGAATCTTACCACCCCAAGAAGTTGGGATGGATGATGATGCTGATGATGTATTTTGTCATACAATAGGCATTAAAGGCTCTACATAAGTAACAATTTCATTTTCTATTATTGAAACACACTTCTAAATCTTTCGGTATAGTGAAGCAGTCAATCTTCTTTTTGATTTCACGTGACGCGTTTTATACTTTTGTTCACACTCTTTAAGCTCTGATTTTATGTTGGAGCTGGTTTGAGTGGTTAGCAAAGCTTTACCAAATTTATAAAGAATATCAACAAGAATGGATGAATAACTTGTTGATTTGCTTGTCGTCTACTGCAGAGTCCAGCTGTTCGGAGATCTGTTCATTTATTTTGCTGAAAGAATATTGAAAGTATGAAATTGTGGATAGCAAGTAGAAAAGTGTATGATTACATCCGCTATGATCTAAAGGAAATTGCATTCCCCTCATCTTTACCTGATCCTCCTCATATAAAGAAACGCAGGAAGCTTACATTGGTGGAACGCTGGCTAATTTTAAAAGAAGCTTCAAGGCTCTATGCAGCTAGTTGGGTGCGAGACATTGGTCCTGATTTAAGGCCTAATGACTATAAAAATAAGCAAAATGACAATGTTGATCAGGGGAGAAATGCCAATTCAAAGAACGATGAGCCTTCAACATTGGAGGATCTTGCAGTGGCAGCACGAGGAGGCATGGAAACCTTAAAGCCAGCTCTGCAGCGACTTTACATGATTAGAGCATCAGCTTACAGAGATGCACTTAAATGCTTCATACAAGGTTATCAAGAAGGGATAAATTCAGTCATGGACAAGAGCAAAGATACAAACTTGAAGATGCAAGATGGTGTTCCAAGAAAAGATAGTTAAATGTTATATTTATCTTCCTGAGTTCTTGTAACTATAAAAAATTTGTCAATCTTAAGGGAAGATATGCTGTAGATTAGATTTAAGTCTCACAACTAGCCTATAACCTTTCTTTCATATGTGGTCTGGACATTACTCAGATTTTTCATGGGCGATCTTCTTGCCACTGGACTGGATTAGCCTGTCTGCTAAATCTAAAAAATTTTCCTTGCTGCTAATTGTTTGTCATTGCCCAAAAAGGTTTTAATTTATGAAAGCACACAACTTATCCATATTTATGTTTGCTTGGATTTGATTATTATTATTGTTATTGTTGACGACCTACAGGCATAGTTACATCTATTCCTCAGTTCTAATTGGTTACCAACTTCAAGCTCTCTGTACACGTCATGGTGTCTTTTTCCTCGGGTGTTTTCTATGGCTATTTCTATTGTGAATCCTAGTAAGCCTTCCATTGATGGATCTGTATCCTTTGGCTACTAATTTCATTGCTACCGTTGGTTGGGGTGGCTGGAATGGGACCTTTGCTACTTTGACTCAACAAGGTCTAATTATATCACATCTTAAAGCTTTTTTTGGCATCAATGGTTCGACCGCTTTTGTTGATGGAAAAATTACATCATTCCAAGATGAGTTGCCTTTTTCTTTTCACCAAATAGGAATTTGATATGGTTGTTAAGGGATATGATCTCATTCTTATAGAGTAAACTTTCGTTTTGTTGTCCTAATATTCATAATGTTTGTAAGTACTTCGCTGATTTGGAATCTTATTTAACGGTTTCTGTTGACCTTATAGATGTGTAACACCTATTGATCAGGACTGAATAAAGGTGTTAATATTTTCTTGTCGGTATAATAATGTATGTAAATCTGTTTGGCTGCAAGGATTTAGATATTTTAATTTTTGGCAAAGCATTTATTTCATGTGATTGACATCCTTTGATGTTTTTTTATATTAGAATCTTGGGTACATATCTCATTTTATATCTGTTGTTAACAACTGCTTGTTCTGTTTTCTAGGAGTATGGGTGTGCATTCGGTTGGTTAATATAAATTTCTTAGCGGACTTGTTAATCCAATTGAACCGGACCAAAGCATAGGCACACTCAACCAATTAAACTAGAGGTAGAACTAAACTTTCAGATAGCTTGGTTTTGGTTTAACCGACTTCTGAAAAAGAACAATATAAGTTCTTTTGGTAATGCATAGACTCAGATGAAATTATAATATATGGAGGAAATGATATATATCTATATATCACAAACATATGTATCTATATCTATATTTAACATAACAGCTGGGAGCTATGTTGGCTCTTTTTGGCTTGGATCTTGATGGATTGATAGTCTCTGGACTAACTAGGGTCTAGTCACATAGCTTATAGGGAGCATTTTTGAATGTAGTTTGTATAATTTTGATTCAATGTTATGACTAATTATGCCTTTTAGCAGCTATCTTAAGTTGTTTATTCTTTGTTTGAAAGGTCTGGTGCTTTTGTTGTTGGTGATCTTGTTCTTGAAAAAGCTAAACTTTCAGCAAATATGGTGGGCCTTTCATGTAAGATTGGTATATTTTTCTTCGTAGCTGTATTTATTCTATTGAACATAGAGTAGTTCTGTTGGTGCTAAAAAAATGGATTTTTTTTTGCGTTATATATATATATATATACATGCTTGCTTTGATTAATTCTCGAGTAAGTGAATAGCCAGTATGGAATATTTGAGGTTGGTTCCAGATTCTTAAGCTGGATAAATTTCTAATGTCTAAGTATTAGTAATTGCGAATTCTATAATATTTTTAAGTTTTTTTTTATTCTTTTGAGTTGAAGCCAAAATCATATTTCATGACAAAAATTTGTATTATGTTCATTCAAAGTGATTGATTATGTACATTCATCTTTATTTGGATCAAGTTAATGATGAATATGTCTGAATCAAGTTAATTAATGCTAATATAAACTTGAACCGAGTATAGGAGATCATTAAATGCTAAATATGCTTGAAGCACTTACAACAAGGGCTAACTTTTCCAGAGGTTGTATTAAGGCTTTTTTAACTAGTCATCCGCTCAAGAAGAATACTTGCTTGATCATGATGTTAAGTGTGTGCATTTGGAGTTCCTGCTAGTTGATAAGAGGTTCTCACCAGGTGAGCTAGCCCAAACTTTTGCCAAATGTACTTGATGCGGGGGCATCCCGTTAGCTAACTTTAATCTCCAGGGTCGAGTTTTTTCATAGGCATGACTTTTTATAATTAATTATTCTTCTCAATAACATGAGACAATTGCGATTAATTATTGGGTGTTGATTATTCACCAAATAGTAGCGGTAAGTTAAATTTTAGATTGAGAACTCATCATTGTGAGCTTAAATGCAGATGGTGGGGAGAATTATAACAAACCTAATCAGGATTCCTTGATTTTATTGTCCTAGATTGTCATGAGTTTTTGTCCGCTTAATTAGAAGAGGTAGTCGACCCAATCTAATAGAAAGATATTTGACAACAATTACTGATTGTTTTGTCCAAGTGAATTTTATAGGTTTGGGTTGAATGTTGGTCCAAAGGGATAAATTTAATATCACTATATTTTACACAGAGCCTCGTGTCCTTTCAAATATACCTTATCATCTACAACTCAATAAGTAAAATACTTGAGGAATATACATGGTACAACTATGATTGTATTATAATTGAACTTTTTTTTTGCAAAATCACTAGGTCAGTGCATACACCACAGCTGTCTGAATGGATCTCAAAGCAATTGAATGGTGTTGATGATGACCAGACAATCGAGGCATCCTACCGTCCCATAACCAACTGCGTAATCAAGGATCGACTGACACACTATGGTGAGAGATTTGAACGACATATCGCACTTGCAGTCCGGATCGACTAGAGTGCAGGCAGGAATTCTTGATTGCGGTCAACTGACTAACCCACTTTCTCCACGACAGATGAGATCGACACTCAGCCGGGTGTCTCAGTTGACCAACCCATGGTGCAGTTGCCATTCAAACGGTAACCTCAATCGACCTAATTCAAATAAGTCGGTCGACCAATTACCGTCAGATTAAAATTCAAATTGTAATGTCGATATTGTATGAAATATATACGATTGATTTGAACACTAATTGTATTAAAAGTGGTATCCATAACTACTCCCTCCTTTCCTTAATTGTAAAAAACACAATTCTATAAATTGGAGGCAAAAATACAAATAAAGGCCATCTCCCATATCTCTCTACGGGTAATTCTAAACTTGTTCTGCTCTCTCTCCATCTTTCCTCCTTCAACCGATAATAACTCTTGGGGCTTGTTTATGAAGGACAATTTAGGACTGAACATTTTAAAAGGTGGCGCGGTGAGCATGAATCATGCCACAAACGAGAAGTGGTAAAAACTACAAAAGAGAAACATCCCAAAGAGAGATAGCAAGCATGAAACCCAGTAGAGATGCTGCCTAACCGGACGTCCATGCACAAGTCCAAAACTTGCAAGCCCAAATGACCCTCATGATGGTGCAATTCGAGGTCCTTAGGGCAGCAATAACCCAAATTAATGACCAAATTCCTCGCCTGGAAATGGAACCTCATGGGTCAGACCCCAAAGGACCCCACCAAGGAACCCACTTACTTCAGACAACCAGGTCAGCAACAAGTACACTGAAGGACAAGGTGGTCCCAACACATAGAGATAGTCGCGTCTGCACAGGCAAACATGCAACATGAAGAGTAGATGCGAGTGCCTGTTCGACCGCTCACAGGAGGGGCTACTCACCAAATCAAAGAGGTGGTACCCCCGCCCAAGCAAGGATCGCTTGCTGGGATTCTTATAAAGGGAACACTGGCCTGATCAATCATGTACCTGTTGACCTAACCTTTTGTTGTCGAGTTTACAAAACAAAGAAAGGAAAGAACACAACTTATCTCACACTCTTCCTCAAGCAAATCTCTTAAAGTTTTATTTAAGCACTTTCTCTCTTTACAATCACACTCAATTCTCTTTAAAAATTGTAATGAAGAAGAAATCTCACCTTTCCTCTGCTCTTACAACTCTAGAAGAAAAACCTAACTCTTCCTCCAAAACTTTTCACGCCACACTCACACAACACCTCACGCCTCTCTCTCATGCCACTTGCCTACACACTCTCCACCACTCACAAAAGACCTCATTAGACTTCACTATATGCGCACCAGCCTTGTCTTCAAAGGAATTCAAAATTCCCTCCTTTTTCCCATAAGACACACCTCTTCACATCGAAGGAAAAATCTCTTCATCCAAGAGACATATCTGTTCATTCAAAAGTCTTTCCAGAGTGTCTGGATGCATTGAATCAGTCCATGAGGAACTTGAATTTCTTGGAGCCTTCTAGAACCACTAAAAAATAGTTAACAACTTCCATAATTCATCTTAATTCGTCTCTAGTGCCTCCGGTGCCATTTTATTAGAGTTCCGCACTGTTTTCTGGATTCTGGCACCTCTGGCGCCAGTTCTGGCACCTCTAGTGCATCTTCTTTGAAAAATTGCGCTAGTTTTGGCGCCAGGATGCTAAAAAATTACATTTTTACTCCAAATTTCCTCATTTTTGCTCATTTTGGCACTTTTTGCTCCAAATATCTAAAATCAATATACCTGCAACAAAATATAAAAATACCCTTCTTTAAAGTGCAATATCACTAAATTTAAACATAAAATATATACATAAAATTGCACATTTTTTGGTGTATTAGTGACGTGTAGAAAAATTCATTTTCTTATAGAACGATTTCAATCTCCTGAGATGAGCAATATCTCCTTGACTTTATTGACATAACTTAAGTGACAAGAGATTATGCTAAAAGTTGTTGTAATTGAAACTAAGACTCGAGAGAGCGGCGATCTTACAACTTGAGTGCACTCACATTGTCTGGTTGGCTATGATTATGTAGTTTGGGCAGCAATGCAACTTTTAAGTAAATATAATTTAAAGATCTGTTTCTATTAGGAGTTTCTAGGTGATAACTAGTTGTGTAAAA